TCTATGCTCTAGACTCTGGGGCTAACAAGTGAACAAACCATATAAAAATCTTTGCCTTGGTCGCCGCCGCCCCCCCCCCCCCCCCCCCCCCCCCCACCCCCCGGGTTCCCTTAGCCCAGCCTGGTCCAGCCCGGTTCCCGAGAGGATGAAGTTCGTGTATAAAGAGCAGCATTCGTTCAAGAAACGTCGCTCTGCGGGCGAGAAGATCCCAAAGAAATACCCGGACCGGGTTCCGGTGATAGTAGAAAAGGCTCCCAAAGCCCGGATAGGAGACCTGGACAAAAAGAAATATCTGGTGCCTTCTGATCTCACAGTTGGTCTGTTCTACTTCTTGATCCGGAAGTGAATTCATCTCCGAGCTGAGGATGCCTTGTTTTTCTTTGTCAACAATGTCATTCTACCCACCAGTGCCACAATGGGTCAGCTATACCAGGAACACCATGAAGAAGACTTCTTTCTATACATTGCCTCCAGTGATGAAAGTGTCTGCGGTCTGTGAAGCTGCTCCCCCTGAGGTGGGGGGTCCCGTTCTACAAAGAGAGAGGTGGCCCCCCCTTCCTTGGCCTCCTCCTCCTCCGGGCTCAACCACCACCTCCCTTCTTCAGGACCTGCACTTCCTAATGTTTGAGGCTCTCTTCCAGCCCCTCTTAGCAGAAGGGCTCATGGGGGAGGTGACCTCTTGGACCTCTCCTTTCTCCCCTTTCTCTTACCACTTTTCCCACTCTGCTTTAGACTTCTCGATTGTCAATCTGTCACATCCAGCGATTGTTTTGGTTTCTGTTCCCTTTCTAACTGTCCAAGGGGCTCAGAACCCCAACATTCCCTTCCTTTCACTACATTCTTTTTTGGGGGTAGATGGAAAGGACTGAAATTGCGGGGGGAAGGTAGGAGGCACATCAATAAAGAGGAAACCAAGCTGAACTGGAAAAAAAAAAATCTTTGCCTTAATGAAGATTAAATGTAAAATTAATAATAAAAACCAAAACAAATTTACAAAAATTTGCTTTGAGAACAAGATTGGATGCCAAGAGGAAAGAAGAAATAATTTGAAGTCCTTAGCTTTTTTCTAGTTTTTTGTAAGAGTTAGAGCATAATCTTTCCAGGAAATCGGGGTTTCCATTATCACAATGAATTGTGTTAACCTGTAGGAGAAGGCACTGCAAAGAATCAGAGAAGCTACAAGGAGCTTAGAGCAGCTTGCCAGTCTCATACTGCCAACCACTCACTAAAGTGCAGCTTTGTTTAAAAAAAAAAAAAAAAGACAATCAAATATACCTGAACTAGAAATAATGCAAAGAGAACCTAATTAATCCAACCAGTTCCTCAGTGAGATAGGTATTTTTAGCTTTCAATTCAATTCATGGTTTTAAGCCCAAGGATTGTCTCAAGCCACTTAAAGAAGAAAAGCATGTAACAGATGCCTAGATAAAGTAGGGGTAAATAACCTCAGTCTTTGTGTCTCACTGAGATCGGCTACTCTCCCCTCCCCCACATAGAAAGAATCAACTCAGATAGGGTTTTGGTGCCCCCACCTCCACCCCTTGGAGCAACCAATGGGTTTGCTGCTTAGTGGGCAGATCTAACTGAAACAAAATTGTGTGTCTTTGGCAATTCTCATCCCCCCCATTCCTACAATGTTTCTACTTTTTCTGCTTTTCACCTTCGCAGGGGTGTATTTTCCTCCCTGTCCTCACCCCTCTCCAAATAAGTCTTTATTTTGCCTTTTAGGGATTTGCCCCACCCTTGGAAATGCTGCGGAGTCTTGGGCGCTTTATTTCTGCCCACACCCTCTCCCCTCTCTACATCGGCAGCCTCAAGAGTGGGCAAGTCAGTAGAAAATTCAGGTCTAGTCTAAGCAGAGAAAATTCACCCAGCAGACTAAGAAAGTACTAATAATCCCCTGGGAGAAACCAACTCTTCCCCTAGACTTCTAGCTGAAGGTAACATGTTAATAGGAACCATTTTTTTTAAGTACCCACATTTTCCTTGTCCAACCTGGAAGGGC